TCCTAAATTTTTTAAGTTAGGAGCACAAGTGCTCCTAAAAAGAAAAGTAAGTGTAGAGCCCTGAATTGATGCCATAAAATCATGAGTATGTTTTGATTTAAAGGTCAAAAGCTATAGCTTACATTAATTTTAAAAAATCACAAACATGACACTTGTAAATTAAATAATTTCATATATACTTATTTATTCATTAATGTGTAATATGTTTGATTTTTTAAACAAATCATAAGCTCTAAAAGATTTTCAGAATTTTTACAACTCTTTTGCTTTAGACCATCTACAAATGTTAAATCTTAAAATAAAATGTTAGGGTTAACCTTGCATCTTTGTGGGCAAAAAAAATGCAGGGATTGATATATAGTTTTTTTATAGTTATTTTCAAAGCTTCAATGCACTGTCAAAAAAACCTTCATTATTGTTTATTTAATTCTAACACATAAGTTCTTGCTTAAAAACTAACCAAAATTAAAAAATATTTTGCTTATAATTTCTGCACAGGAGAGAATTGGTGTTGTTTCCAAACAAAAGGAAATATATCGGTATGATGAGTTGAAAAATTTCGGCAAAAATCCAATATCGTGCAAGTGCATCCCTAGTAATTTGCTTAAAAAATCATCTTATAAAATTGGAAAAGCACCTATTTAATATAATAGGTGCACACTGAAAAAAACAGACTTGAGATAAAGATTCCCCTTGTCCACTTTTATTCAGCATTAAATCTGTCATGGTTCTAATGAAAAGCTCAGTGTTTTGCCGCCTAAGCTTTTCAAATGAAGACACTGCCAATAAAATTTGCTGAGGTGAACCAAAGGTGGAGCCTATTAATAATGCTCTTACACACATCTCTATAAATAGCTTTAAATCACTTAAAAATGTTTGTAGGACAGGGAGAAGAGAAACCCCCGAAACCACATGAGATCACTGAGAAAACTTGAGCATACCTGAAAAGCCTGCAGAGCCAGAGAGTGGTATCCGACAGGATGCGTGTGGTCAGCTTTCTCAATCTTTCTCGTTCCAGGACAGAAATATATGCAGCCAGACTGTGTCCCAATAGAGCCATGTGTCCCTGCTCTCCGACATACTGCATCCTGCTAAACAGACGTTCATTGTTTTATGACACACGCAGAGGGGTTTACACATGCTCTGAGTGCAATATAATGGAGCTGTTCGGTCTTGACGTCAATTTGTAGACCAACCCTAAAGACTATTTCAGCATAGGTTTGGTTCATCAGTAAAATAAGGCCTACGGCATTACTCAAAGAGACTTTTATTTAAGAGACTTTTCCATTTTGTTCTACAAGTAATATATAACACAGACCTTATTTTACTAATGTATTCTACGTATACCACCATTCAAAAGTTTGGGTCTGTAAGACTTTTTGTAAGAAGTTCTTGAAAGAAGTGTCTTATGCTCACCAGGCCTGCACTTATTTGACCAAATATACAGTAAAACCAGTAATATTGTGAAATATTACCAAAATTTAAAATAACTGCTTTCTATTGTAATATATTTTAAAATGTAATTTATAAGCTGAACATTCAGCATCATTACTCCAGTCTTCAGTGTCACATGATGATTACCTTCAGAAATCATTCTAATACGCTGGTTTGCTGCTTAAGAAATATATCAATGTTGAAAACAGATTAAGATTTTGTGGAAACGGTGATACTTTTCTTCAGGATTCTTTGATGAATACAAAGTTCAAAAGAACAGCATTTACTTGAAATAGAAATCTTACAAATGCCTTTACCATCACTTTTGACCAATTTAATGCATCCTCGACCTTGTCGAATAAAAGTATTAATATATTTTTATTATAAACCTGTTCATAATTCTTAAGGGATTCATTTCTTGGCTAATTAGGACGACAAACTGAGCATGCTGTGACCTACCGATGACCCTGCTTCTCATCATCTCCATGCATCAGGTTCTGGACAAGCTGGAGTATGCTGACAACATCCTGTCCACTGTCAGAAAAATATGGAAAACGGAAAAGGATCAGAAAGGCCTTCAAGTGTTTTATAGCTAATATACGCTGACTTTAAACCCCACAAAATGTCTTAGAAATAAACAAGGTAGAGTTACACAGCAAGGCAAGAAACAGTGTAAATGTAAACTGTGATTTACAGTATTAGAGTCTCACTCACTCTCCTTGCAAGGGTCCTGGAAAGTCTTTCCAACTCAACTTTCTTCTTTCTTTGCCCTGTTCAGATTCCCTGAATACATCCCAACATTGTTATATTAGTTTTATGTGAAACTAAACTATGGACATACTGTCAACATAACATAAAGATGGCTTAGTATTGCCATTTTAAATGCAATTACTGACAATATTGTAATATGAAAGATGAAGTCTCACAATTTTCCACTTTCCAAAATCTTCATGGCATCAGAGAGATGGTTTCCCATCTCAGCGAGTGTAGGGTCCATCATCTACAATTACACAGTAAATATATATGGTTATCCTTGAAGGGCACTGCACTGAAACGCTGGAGAACTCGCAAACTTGATGACAATGGCTGTATATCACATTGAAAAAGGAAAAAGGATAAGAGAGGCTCTAAAGTGTTTTATAGCTAATATGCACTGACTTTAAACCCCATAAAATGCCTTAGAAATAAGCAGGGTAGAATTACAGAGCAAGACAAGAAACAGTGTAAATGTAAACTGTGATTTACAGTATTAGAGTCTCACTCACTCTCCTTGCAAGGGTCCTGGAAAGTCTTTCCAACTCAACTTTCTTCTTTCTTTGCCCTGTTCAGATTCCCTGAATACATCCCAACATTGTTATATTAGTTTTATGTGAAACTAAACTATGGACATACTGTCAACATAACATAAAGATGGCTTAGTATTGCCATTTTAAATGCAATTACTGACAATATTGTAATATGAAAGATGAAGTCTCACAATTTTCCACTTTCCAAAATCTTCATGGCATCAGAGAGATGGTTTCCCATCTCAGCGAGTGTAGGGTCCATCATCTACAATTACACAGTAAATATATATGGTTATCCTTGAAGGGCACTGCACTGAAACGCTGGAGAACTCGCAAACTTGATGACAATGGCTGTATATCACATTACTTGTAACATCAAATAAAATGATTCCTCAGGCTTTAACAAAACTCATATTTCACCTGTAAGGCACTTTCGCTGACTATGAGAGAGGAGGAAACATTTAGGCCTCATTTAAGCACAAAATAAATAACACAAACACTGTTCTATTTGTAAACTGTGCTAATTTGTAAGATGAGCCTCGCGGCGCTGTCTTAATTCTTGCTTTATCAATTCTACACTTATAATTCCTGATATTCAGGATGTGGGGCGTGTTAAAGGCGAAAACCTGTCGGATGACAAGGCTCATTTCAGTACACTAGCACTCATCTGGTACGTCCACCTTGTCCAGACGAGGACAAATTTAATGTCATGTCCTCGTGCGCATCCTGCTCTAATACAACACTTCATTTTGCAACACAATTGATTTTTTTGGATCAAACTTGCACATGAAAGTGGTTTGCAGAACACAATCTATTAATAACACTTCAATTTTCACCGGCACTTTCACGTTTAAAGAAGACGGCGAGTATCAAGCTCTACGCACTAACAGCAAATACTCGATACAAATGGTTCTAATGAATCCGGTAGAGCTCCACATCATCCTCCCCATGGCAATGACAGTGAATAAGCTTCCTGCACTTTAATCAAATGAGCGAGTCCTTCAGGGAATGATACGCGCTGTTCTACATTACCTTCACAGGCGGCTTATCCATGGAATGTTGAAAAACCCGTCGCAGGGACTCTGCGTGTCCCCCGTGCGTCGTCGCGTGCTGTGTATTTTAGGGAAGCAAATCCCAGCACAAAAATCCACCTCTTCGATATTTGTATAGTCAATTGAATTGTGTTACTTCCTGGTGTCATGCTGCTCCACGCTGGCAGCGCTGACGTAGCCTAAACATACGCCCCCTTTACAGTCTCGTGAGCTCCTCGCTTTACCCCAATCAATGCAAAGACATGTAATGATGCAGTGAAGTGATGTGGAGTCCGAACCGAATCGGTTCTTTCGAACAGTTCGTTGCAAATAAATAAATAAATAGGTTCGAAAACCCTTTTACGTCATCACGTGGTCTCTGACGTCTCAAGTGTCAATCACATGCCTTTTATGATTAAATAAAAGTAAGGTGTCCATGTTCGGTTTGTTGTTGCCATGATTGAGCTCATAAAAACATAGTAACTAAGAATAAAAATCTAAAAATAAAAAATAATATATACAAAAATACAAAATAATAATCTACACGAGTCATGACTTTGGTTGAAAAGTTTTTGCTTTTTTTTTTAATTCTATTCACCAAAACAAATCAGATTCGTGTGCTGATGAAACTGTCGTATAAACGAGTTACAAACACATTTTAATAACTTTTATTTGTAGAATTGCTGTTATTCAAATATTTCATACTTTACTTTTTTTTATTACGAACCTGAAATGTTCGAAATAGACCTCCGATTTTTCGACATTGAAAAGATATACGATTCAAATCAACGATTCTTTCACATTGCTAAAACCCAGGAATATGCTTAGAACCAGAGGAATACGACAAATAAAACAACATTTTGGGAAGTTTACGCATATTAAATTGATGCATATTACGCTATGATCGTGAAGTTATAGAATGAGCTCATCTCAATGCCAGACAAACATGTCACATAATAGAGCATATAAAGATGAAATATGTTCAAATCGTGTAAGCATTAAAAGTCTCAGTAAACGTTGATCACACGAACATAAAAGCTAGTATTTTAATAACTTTTATTTGTAGAATTGCTGTTTCAAATATTTCATAATTTACTTTTTTTTTATTACGAACCTGAAATGTTCGAAATAGACCTCCGATTTTTCGACATTGAAAAGATATACGATTCAAATCAAATAAAACAACATTTTGGGAAGTTTACGCATATTAAATTGATGCATATTACGCTATGATCGTGAAGTTATAGAATGAGCTCATCTCAATGCCAGACAAACATGTCACATAATAGAGCATATAAAGATGAAATATGTTCAAATCGTGTAAGCATTAAAAGTCTCAGTAAACGTTGATCACACGAACATAAAAGCTAGTGCCTGGTCTTACTGAGTATGTGGTCGATCTTTATTACATACAGACCAGATTTAGGCACGCCACACGTGAAGGCGCAGGAGCTCGCGGGCAGATTAATGTGGGATTTGAGCGCCTGACTAAAGTAACGGGAAACTGCTGATCACTGGATGAACGCGCGCTGGAACCTTTTAATTCAATTGCTAATGGATTAATGAAGCGTAATTCTTATTTTTGCCTTGCTGTCTCTTTTAAAGTCCGAGAAGATGGACTGAACTCTAGTATTCGATTGATCTGTGTTTTATTTGGCAGTGCTTTGTAATGATCTTCTAATGTTTAGAAACTGAAGGATGTTCACCAAGAGTCACAATGAGCTGTCAAACTAATAATCTGTCATTAATTGTGCCTTTTAAAAATATTGAACCAGACTGGCTAGAAATAATCGAGTTTAATTGAACATTTAACTTGAAGAGCAAAAGGTCATATTTTATGAGCTTATTATAGCCTACGGCCGTCTGTCAATGTCAGGTCACTGCAGTTTTTTTTCCTGTCCATCGACATCATTTGCAAAGGTTACGAAGTAGGCCTACAGCCATTTCTGTTTTGTTGAACATGAGAAAATCTTTTTTCAAACGCGCAAAGGCATTGCCTTGGATAAGCAATGTGACTCTGTACGGATGCTTGTTCGCGGGTGGGGATTTCGTGCATCAGTGCATGATCGCGCAGAGAGAAGAAATGGACTGGAGGCGCACGAGAAACGTGGCGATTGTGGCGCTGAGTTTTCATGGGAACTTCAATTACTTCTGGTTGCGAGCCTTAGAACATCGTTTCCCGGGAAGATCGGCCAGCATGATTTTCCGCAAACTGCTTTTGGACCAAACTTTTGCTTCACCTTTGGCGACCAGTGTCTTCTACACAGGTGATGTAGCCTAATGTCAGTCACAGTCTCATATAATACACTTGTTTGTTTCATCACTGAATTCATTGTCTTCACAGGTGTGAGTTTCTTGGAGGGCAAAGAGGACATATTTGCAGACTGGCGAGAAAAGTTTTTTAATACATATAAGGTAGGCCCTTGATGAACCACCAAAAAGAAGTCATCTTTTACCAGTTATAGCACATGAACAGCCTCCTTTACAGAGAATAATTTGCTGAAGTCTTGCTTATAACTTGTGTATAACGTTTTCTTTTTATCGTCTTGATGTGATCTTGACATCAGTAGAAAATCTTGCCTCTAGAAGGACACGAAAGGTTCAGAAAGACTAGAAAGGTTAAAAACTTCATGTTTCAAGTATTATAGTTTTATTGAAAAACCAGGGGACCCCCAAGTATTTTAAAAGTTTTTTAATACATATAAGGTAGGCCCTTGATGAACCACCAAAAAGAAGTCATCTTTTACCAGTTATAGCACATGAACAGCCTCCTTTACAGAGAATAATTTGCTGAAGTCTAAATCAAATATGTACAGTAGTTGAAAAAACCCCTCAAAGGTTCGAGTTTTGAACCTTTCTAGGCTTTCTGAACCTTTCGTGTCCTTCTAGAGGCGAGATTTTCTACTGATGTCAAGATCATGTCAAGATGATAAAAAGAAAAAGTTATACACATGCTATATAAGCATTATATATATATATATACATATATATATATTAGTGCTGTCAAACAATTTATTTGCGATTAATCGCATCCAAAATAAAGCTTATGGGAGGTCCGGGACCCCCCAGCCCCCCTTCAATTCGAACACTTATATATGTTTATAAATGTTATTCACCTTTTTCTTCCCATAAAAATGGCCGTGGCCAATTGTAAATTCTATGGGTCTGTCTTCCGGTCTCATCCGCGTCCAGCTATTTTTAGCTGAACAAAAAAGTTAGTTTTGCTGCTTGATATTGAAAATTGGTGTGTCTTACCATATTATTTTAATGTATTATCTTAATTGTGAACACACTGGTTTGTAGTGCAAACAGATTTACCGTTTACTGCACGTTGTTATTCTCCTCATTAATGAACCGGAAGTCTCGCCCATAAGCATACTTCCGTGTTGAAGAAAAAGGTGGATACATTTATTATAAAATGAATGATATTGAGAACATCTATCTTTTATGGCTGACAATCTAAATATATTTTTACATTTCAGACTGGACTGATGTACTGGCCATTCATGCAGGTAAGAACCACATTCTGTCACCACATAATATATAAACACAGATGAACGTGCCATAAGCACGTCTTCATCCTTTGCTTTGTCAATATTCTTAAATGGCATTGTTAATTTTTCACATCTAATCACTATTTATGTTGATTAACCTGTATTTTCTTTCAGTTTCTGAATTTTGTTCTGATGCCTCTGTACCTGAGGACAGCATTCATGGGCTGTTCAGCGTTCCTGTGGGCCACGTTCTTATGTTTCTCACGACAGAGTGGGGACGGCACGGCAGCAGTGGCCTTAGCTTGGATCATGGCCCCCAAAAAACGGCTTCTACCTCGCAGTACAGACGAGGAGAAATAGAGACACAGTGGAGCACATAAACAACATTGTGCCTTTGCGGATGGACAGTTCTGTCCCACAATGGTACTGCATTGACGCTGTGTTGTGTTTATAAATCTTGTCGCTTATGATCTTATTAAGAGTGATATTAAATTAACATATTTGTGTGCTTTAATATTTATGTTGAACAAGCCCATTTTACTTTATATAGTTTTATGTGATTCAATTGATTGATTTATTACTGAAGGGAAATGCATTGTGTCTTTATGAATTTCATTGGGTGGGTTGGAGGGGCCTTGTGACATTTGTGCCCCAGGTTAGGTTGCCATTCAACCCAAATACCTTATTAATTTATTGAAATATTTAAAAATGGACATACTGTGCAGTGTTTTATCCAAATGTAACTGTCTTTCTAAAGACAAATAAAGATGCATTCACTCATAAGGTTTACATAACTTGCACATGTATTCATAAGGGATCCAGTATTAAAAAGATTTGTATCTTATTAAACTTGTAATAGAACAATATATTTATTGTGATTAAATATTGCAGAGTTTACACTATTTTAGATTAAGCAGTGTTCACTTTTTGTAGGTGAGTTGTACAGTTTCTTGTGGTGCTGTTTTTATGAAAGTGTATGTAGGTGATGTGTTTAACCTCGCAGAATTGTGAAACGCGACAGCTTAATGTAGATTTTATGAGATATTGAGGGTGATGCTGGGTAACAGATAAACAGCTTTTCCGGTACTGCTTGTCTGTGTTGGATTAGGCAGGATCACACGCTTGCTAATCTTAGAAGGGCAAAAATGTCTGGTGTGCGCTCACTGCATGCAATGACCTCTGATAGCAGGACAGAAAAAAACTCTCTTAGCTATTGTGTACATTTATGTCATGACTTTAGCATATTAGTGTCAAAAATGCCTTTTTATTTTGGTTTTTAAATGTATGTTATTTTTAGACAAAAAGAATGATGAGAATAAACATCCGAACGTGCTTCATTCAAATTTGCCATAGATCAAATATTTGCCATTTCTTACACGCAAGTTGCATGACGCACCATTTGCATCAAGTTTTTTTTTATTTCATGTATGGGTCCTTTAAAACACTCAGAACTTTGGAGGTCACTGCATTTATTTGAATATATTTTCAAAAAAGAACCAAACTTGAACTCGAGGATTTCAGAAAATAATTTTTTCCTGATTCTAAATGTGTTAATTGTGCAGTGGTTCTCAACCAGGGGCCAAGGAGGCCTCAAGATGATGTAAAATAAAATAAGCTAAAACTAAAAATCAAGATGAAAACTGACTTTTATTTTTTTATTTGTTCCCTCAATAACTCATTTTAAGTCATTTTAAGTTAAAATAAGTCATTTTATTTAAGAAGAAACCTGAGTATACAAAATAAATTTTAAAAGTGTGAATTGTAGACCTGGAA